CAATTAAATATAAGTAAATTACACATAAAATACATCATATACTATTAACACAGTGAGAATATTCTTTGAAATCAGAAGATCAAAGTTGATGAAAAAATACAAAGAGCCCTAGAGGGAGAAGGTTTTGTGCTTACGTACAACATACCAATCGATAGAACCGGAAAGTGATTTCATGACCAAATCATTTCTTAATTTTTTTCTTTGTCTTTGTACATCTTGATTCATGTTTTGTTTTCCAATCATCACAAAACATAAAATTTCATTCAAAATAATACTATCACTAAATATAAGTTAATGGTTCATAGATATAAATTTAATTCACTAAATTTAATCAAATATAAAAATTATAAGTATGTTCAATATTTCGATGAATCAAAATAACAAATTACAATTTCAATTATTCAATAAGCATTCAAATATATTTAGAATACTCATTATCCTAAATCCCTAGTCCTACTGCCCTAGCCAACAAAGAAAAAAAAGGAAAAAGGGGCAAATAAGCCCACATACTAACCAAAAAGGTCAAATAAGTCCTTGTATAAGAGACTTTGTCCGGACGTCGCCATTTGGGGCAGTTCCCGGTGGAATGTTTTGATGAAGTTTTTTGAGAATCTTATTCATTAAGTCTTGTTTACTCATACCAAATTTCAGCTTACAATTCAACGGGGAAGGCATTCAAATAAATTCTTGAAGATAACTGCGCTTTTAACTACGCAGTTATCTTCAAGAATTCATTTGAATGTCTTCCCGATTGAATTTTTAGGTGAAATTTGGTATGAGTAAACTAGACATAATGAATAAGATTCTAAAAAAAAATCATCAAAAAATTCCAAAGGATACTATCCCAAATGTTGACGGCCAGACAAAGTTTCCTAAATAATATTAATAAGCTTATTTTATAAATTAGAGGCCCCTAAAATTTGGAGGCCCTAGACACTTGTCTAGGGTAACTCCCCCTATGGCCGGCCCTGAGTGGGGGTACAAAAAATTTATAAATACTCCATTTTTTCTATACACTTTACTACACATTTCCTGCTTTTTTAAAAGAATATGCTAACTATATTATAAACCCGGCCGACATCGACACTTGTGAAAAAGTTTTGAATGTTTTGGTATATTTTAATAATGCAACTCAAACTTTTAGTCATGTTTATAAACCTACCGCAAACCAATTTTTGTTGAAGCTGTTAATCTCGCCGGCGCTTTTTGTGAATTTGCTGATGCCGCTTACGTTAGTTATTTTTGTGACTTCATGAAACAAAAGTTTTTAAAATATTATTCTGCATATATATAGTATTGCATTTATTCTTGATCCTCGTTTTAGACTTGCTTCTTTGGAGCAATGTTTAGATTACTATTATGCTTCTTTTTTTGGTCCATTGCCTATGTACGACGACAAGGTTATTGACCCGAAACAACAATTTCAAGAGGTTAGTAATTTATTATATCAATTATTTAATGAGTTTCATGCACAATATGGTAACGCACCCCCTCCCCCCGCCATGAACATCTTCTTCATCTAAAGGAAAATCAATTTTGAAATCTGCATTTGGCAATCTTATGAAAAAAAGTAAATCAACTCCGGTTAATGAACAAAGCTCGATCAACGAGCTTTCTTTGTATCTAACATTTCCTGTTGAAGTGTTGAGTATGAAGAAGGGGATGACTTTGAAGTTCTTCAGTGGTGGAAGGAAAAAGAGAGAACGTTCCCGATCTTATCAAAGATGGCTAAGCAAGTGCTAGCAATGCCGGTATCAACAGTTGCTGTGGAACAAGAGTTTAGTGCGGCCGGCAACGTCCTAACGGATTATAGAACGAGATTGAGCGCAAACTCTCTTGAGACGCTTGTTTGCTTCCACGATTGGTTGAAGGCCAAACGTAGAACTCAAGAAATTAGCATTGAACCCACCCGCCACTTTATGGAAGAAACAACCGAAGATGGCGGAAATTCCGATTGATTCTTATTTATTAAAAAGTGTATTTCATGTTTTAATTTTTGCTCAACTTCCAATTGTACTACATATTTCAAATAAATATATTTTAAATTTTTTATGTCCAACTAATCTTAATTCAATATTTAAAAAAAAAAATAGCCCGGGCCCAGCCCGAACCGGACCCGGTATCACCCCGGGCCGGTTCCAGGCCCATGTTTGTACAAAAAAAGCCCGCCCGGGCCCGACCCGGAACCGGACCGGCCCGGGTCCATCCCTATGTGCAACCATCACAACAAAAAAGAATGTAAATATATCAATTGAAGTAAAGAAAGTATCTTTCGGAAAAGAAATGTTTTTAGGATTTGGTAAATTTGTATTTTGTTCTGAAATATTTGATCTCCCATTTATGCATTTGTCTATGTTTTCTTCTACATGAAAACACAAGTAAATTAAGAAGCATGAAGTAATAAAATGCTATATTAAAATTTTGAGCTACTTCTCTTTTCAGATTAACATTTTAGAATGAAACCTTAGGACTTAACTTGATATAAAAGCCAAATCGATCCATAATTATGGTATGAGTCCTCTTATGAAAAGTGACTACATGATTACAAAAATTGACATTGACGAACTGACGGAAAAATGAATGACAATACAACCCAAACAAAGTCGTTAATCGTGAGAAGGGGTATTGAAGTCACACAATAAACTTTTCTTTTCACTTTTTCTGATAATTAAAAATCTCAAAAATCTTCCGATAAGTCTTATCTAGTTAAACTTAATTCATTATGGAAGGCCTAATAGATGTGAGGCTTTAGAGAAAGCTGCATTGTTGTTGCCTATAAAAAATACTCCTCCATGCCACTATAATTGTTTCATTTTTACTTTTCAATCCGTCTCACTAAATTTTTCTTATACCATATTTGATAATGTTTATGTGACTCTAATGCATTCTTACTTTATTATTATTTTATCAATTGAATATCAACCACATAATTCTACTTTTCTTTAAAATCACACAACACTCTTTTGTCTCAATCTTAGAGAGATGGAGGTAGTAAATAGGAAGTGGGAGGTGATGTACTTAAACCATAAGATTCCGCCCTTAGATGCATATAGAGTATAATATACTCCTCATATCTTAAAACTTTATCAAGTTTAATCAGCTTACAAAAAAATATAGTAAAATTGTTTATTTAATGTTTGTGCAGATGAGAAACAAATAACATAAATAAGAAATTCATTGATTAAAAGAAAAAATGACAAAAAATTTGGGACAAGCTAAAAAAGAAATATAACAACATTCTAAGGGAAGGAGAAAGTGATTAGTTTTGCAATTTTTTGTATCAATCCAAAAGGTAAAATTACTCATTGAGAATGAAATCGCGATATGATCTCTTTCTGAATGAGATGGTACATAATAAAGAAGGTACATAAGAAGTCATAAAACAAAAATCAATCACCTTCTCACCCACTGCATAGAGCAATTTCGTGATATTGTTGAGACCAATCGGTATCTTTCCAATCATCGCCTGCCTAATCATCGGTAGGCAATACCTTATAAAGATACATACCGTAAAATATGGTTGTGATGCATGTACACGTTTGTAAGTGATTCAATACTACTTCCTTTTGTTACGCTTTCCCTTTATGATAAGTTTTTTCTTTAAAATTTTTAATTAGCTGTACTTTTTTCACTTTTTATCTTTTTTTTTACATTTTCATCTTTTCTCTTACTTTTTCTACATTATTTACTACACATACTATTCTATTTTCTCGTTAAAGATTGTGTCAAGACCTAGTGACGGCAATATTAAAATGGGGTTAATGATAATAAGGAAAGACATACTCCTTACTCCGTACATCTTTTGAATATTTTTACCACTGCCTCAAAATGATTTTTTATGGAAAACATGTCTCAAAATAATAATCTCGGCTTATTACTACCGAGTATTTAATAGTCAACACGTACGATTCATTTTAATATCTAGTTTTATGCATCAGATTCTTTTGCATTACTCAAATTTTATGTTATAGTACAATAATACAATATACGAGTAATTTCTAATATATTTTCTAAGTATGTACCAGTAAATTCCATTTTAAGGAGTAATAGCTGTTGGGTGTGTTTCAGAAAATAAAGGAAATTAATTAAAATAAATTAATTAAATAAAACGACTAGAGAAAAACAAGAAAGGAGATGAAGCAGAATTAGTCAAAGCTCGTGCAACGCACGATGTCCTTAAAACGTATTTGTTGCCTTCCACGGTGCTAGGAGCGTTGCAACAATCGTTTCCCAGGATACGATGACTACGAACTAATGTTTCAGCACACAAACAAGAGTTCCAGTGAACGAGAACCAAGTATGAACACAGAAGGAATTTTCAGAGTAGCTGGAAGTGTTTTTAGCTCAAGAAATCATGAGGAATGTATTGTGCGTTGTCAAAGCGTGTGTTTGTTGCAAAGCACCTGCTACCAGAATACCTCCACCAGAGTTGGAGCAACTCTGATGCGAAGCCACCAGAGTCGGAGCGTCTCTGGTACGAAGCCACCAGAGTTCGAGCAACTCTGGTCCTGGGAAAAAATAAAACGTTACGGGAAGAAACAAAAAATAGACTGTATCTTTGAATGATAGGTTTTCGGACGACATTCGTGTCCGCAGGTCGTCCGCGCACACGAATCGCGGTTTTTCTTCCTCGTTTCGAGCTTTGATCGGTACCCCCCCTGCGCGTAAGAGAGAGTCTTTACTTTTAGGAATCTTAACTCCTTAAAAGAGGCTTCCCTTTATAAGGGGGTGAAAATCCCTTGAGTTTTTCAGTGTGGGATAAAACACACTAGAAACCCATCATTTTCCCAGTTTTTCCATTTCAACAAGTGAACTTCGAGAATCACTTTCTCATTCACCCGTTATCCGTTTTGAGTGTACCACATATCGAATTGTAGCTCTTAACAAATACAATCCGAAACACTTTGACCAGACCCAAATCGAAAGTGGACCTCACTCAAATAATTGCCCCAAAATGACCATTTAATGCAATTTTTAACACATTTTTCCAACAATAGGTACGCCTACATAATACTGTGAAGGAGATGTTAATTTTTCATTAGTCCAACAAAAAGTCCACAACAAGATCATCAATTCTCATTACATTATATATACTACGGAGTAGTATAACCTCTCTCAATCTTTAATTACGTTAAAACCACGTACACTTATGGAAATTCAAATTAATACAAAAACTGAAGCAAACACATGAATATTTTATTTGAAGATGTGTGTGTATATTTATCCATCCCTTTAATTTTTGACATGCATCTAAGAGCATCTCCAATGCTATAGTGTGCACGGTGTACATGTGGCATGAAAAATAACCACATAAATATTAGCAAATAAATTATCTCTCTCCTTATTTGAATGATTTTATACAATTTTAGTAAGTTTTCCCCTGCAATGTCAATATTTAGACGGTCTCCTTGACATTGTGAAGAAAAACTTACCAAAACTGCATTAAAGCATTCAAATAAGGAGATAAAGAATTTATTTACTAATATTTATGTAGCTCTAATTAATCAAGTGTGGAGTTTGCTTCCTGCAACGTCGACCACAAATCTGTAGCGGACGTCGTTTTTCTCGAGCCTCTCCATTGCGGTGTTGATGTAATCCATCTTCACCACCTCAATCTGGGACCGCACCCCCTTTTCCTTGCAGAACTCCAGAATTTCTTGCGTCTCTTCCATGCTTCCTATAAAGCTTCCCGTTATGCTCTTCCTACCTAATTAATACCAACCAAACAGTTGAGGAAGATATGATTAGAATTTAGGTGGATGAGTGGATCACATTTGCTAATAATGAAACTGGCTGAATCGATTCTGCCGGAATCTATGAAATTTTGGCAGAAAAGTAATTTCACCTTTACTTATTCCAATTATTACACAACTCAATGTCGAATCAAAAGTTACGTTTTGTGAAAAAAGTTAGCAGATAAACCCAACGGGCTCCAAGAACTACATTGTCTCATTAAAAAGCTTGGTTTTTGCGGTTTTTTGCCCTCAAACTGTTATGTTAGTGACACTTTTTATTCTTATTTTTTATTCTAATCATGTGACTATAAGAGGTGTTAATAATGGTATGGGTAGACAAAAAAAGAGCAACTTACCAAGCATGAGCATGGGAGAAACAAATTGCAAAGGGGTGTTGATAACGCCCATCAAGATTAGCTTCCCATCAACCTTGAGCAAAGAGATATATGGCTCGAGGGGGTGGCCGACCGGGACAGTGTCAATAATGTAGTCAAGCGAGTCAGCGGCCTCTTGCATTTGGGCTGCATCTGAGCTCACCACATAATCGTCCGCGCCCAGATGGCCCAATGCTTCTTCCCTCTTCTTACCAGATGAGCTTATCACCGTAACGTGATGGCCCATTGCCTTTGCTATCATCACACCCATGTGCCCAACCCCTCCAAGGCCCAATATTCCTCCCCTTAGCCCACTCTGTTTCAGCCCAAAGTGCTTTAGTGGGCTGTATACTGTCACACCCGCACATAGAAGTGGGGCTGCTTGTTCTGGGTCCAGCCCTTCTGGTATTTTCACTACAAACCTATATATGAATGAGATCATTAGACGTATTCAAGAAAACCTTCACAAGATATCAGTGGAGTTTTAAATATTGATGCTATTTTCTTCTTCTTTTCTTTTGGAAACAACAACTACCACAAAATCACTTTTAAATTGAAAAGATGAAATAATTTAATTTCCTAAAAAGAAATTTAAGATGCATGATTATAACAGGATAGTCACGTACGTGTACATTAGTGTCCCTATTAAGCAAGGTTCTGGGGTCAAACTAACTACACATAAAGAATGAAGATAGGAAGGGTACAAATGAAATAATATGCTAAAAATCTCACATTCATAATAATAAAAATAAAATAAACGAATAAGACATTATACCACTTTTTATTTGACATATGACATTGAATTTTGTAAATTGACACCACAAGTCTTATGATATACTGGTACAAAGTTTTGAATGAAAGGGAATGTAGAGGTGAATATATATAACAAGTACTCCACCATATTCAATATAGAGCACATTGGCGTGATCAGAACTCTCCATTTTAAAATGAGAGAATTCTAACCATCCGTCACAGTAACATACTTCAATGATGTTATTATTTGGACTGATTTACGTATCACATCAAGTGTAATGTGACTTAGTCGAATCCTAATGGATTGTACGGAACTTAGATAAAAACGAATTATGAATCGTATGAGACCAAAACAGACCGGATCACATAGAATCAGACTTAGAAATTCCAATCCCAACGAAAACATTGTGAATCTAGTGAAATACTTCCTTCCTCCCAAAAAATACTTACTTTTGGTCAACGACAATGTGAGAAGAAAAGCCACCTTGGGTGGGCTTGCCATCGGTGTAGACATCATTGCAGTTCCAGATCTTTTTGGGGCAGTACTGTTCAATCCCTTGTTTGCAAGGGCGGCAGGCCCTACAGCACCCCACGATCAGCCCAACTCCCACCCTCTCTCCCTCTTTGAATTTTCCCACGCCTGCCCCCACTTCCACCACCTCACCAACCACTTCGTGCCTGCACCAAGAAACAAAGTACGTTTTGACTTAGAAATTAAAACGTCAGTCAATAATCAATTAATGACACCAAGCACGTTTTGACCAACTCTTGTCACATTTATTTTGCACACACCAAGACATCAGAGCCTAATAATGAATGTTAGGATCTAGTCAAACTTGTTTTTCTAGAAATTTTTAAATGAAATTCCGAGGTAAAAGAAAAATGTGCGGTGTACACTTTTTGTGTACACACGTCTGTCCCCAGCTGTGTACAGACAATTCGTCTGCGGGGGACAGACGTGTGTACACAAAAGGTGTACACCAAGCAAAGTTGAAGGTAAAATGGAACAATCTTAGCGAGAGGGAGAGAGTATTACTATGAAGTGCTTCATTTGTTTCCCCTTTATCTCAGATTTTCTTTTGGTTTCTTTTTACTTTACGTAAACTTTTGACCTTTGGAAACTTATTTTTTATGATGAAGAAGACATAAATATACTCAAGGTTTCATTCTTTGTTCTCACCATCCCTGCCCTTTCATATTATCTCATACACCTTTAGTAGACTATTCGTTAACCCTATATTCTATATTGAGTGAAAAGATTATAGGAGCAATTAAAAGTGAAAAATAAGAATATACAAATAGAGTGGATGAAGCATAAGAAAGAAGAAATACCCGGGAACCAAGGGATAATTGGACATGCCAAGGTCATTCTTGACCTGGTGAAGATCAGAATGGCAGAGCCCACAACAAAGAACCTTGATATAAACATCTTCAGGCCCAGTACTCCTGTCAACCCATACAGAATTTCACCAAAGTTAGAATCTTTACAATTTGAAGTAAAAAAAGTACTTGAAATTTGAGGTTTTGATAGGGTGGGGGTGGGGGGGGGGGGGGGGGGTACCTGAGGCTATAGGTGTAAGGGGAAAGAACCCCAGATGGGTCTCTTGCTGCCCATCCCACTGTTTCCCTTTCACCCTCTAAGCTGCCCATGATGATAAGAATATTGATTGGAAATGGCAAAGGATGGATGGAGAAGAAGAAGATAATTCGGGGAAGCTGATTGGCCTTGGTGGAGAAAGAAGAATATATAGTCTAACTCAAAACCGACAGCTAACTTTCTTTTTCAATGAAAGTTAAGAAATTTGAAAAAGTGACATCCCACCTAAGTGTTGACTTATCATACCCGAAACATATGGTGAAATACTGAATACACCACCTCACGCTTAGTGTAAAAAATACTTATACATCACGATGTTTACTCCACCTTATTTTATTCCTTCTGTTATATATCATCCGACTTGGCAAAAAAAGTGGGTTTGAATTGGTCAAATAGTTAACTCTCACTAATGTATGCCACATTCAATCGTCAAAAATAGGTATAATCCAATTCTTTCTAGTAATTGCGGGAATTGTTAAATGTCATAGCATAAGAGACAATTATAGAAAATGATGTTCAGATAAATTTAAAAGGCTACCATGATTGAGAAGGGGACATAAACATGTAAGGAATGTAAACTCATCATCACTCTTGCTTTCAGATATGATTGTGGTTACAATGACATGATTTCTAAGTTTTGTGACAATCAATCTAGTTCCATTACATATTCCTTCCGATTGATCTATATTTTCAACAACATTATTGGAGTCTCAACTTTATGTCTTATCTTGTAATTCGGTAGACCTAATGTTCTCACAGAACTTAGAAACTCCAGTGTCAACGCTTCAAATGATTCAGCTTCAACTACAGCCAACTCGTCAACATAATCCCAACTTAAATATTCTCCTACTTCACTTTCAATTATAAAATGTATCCCACTTTTCAACAAAATCCCAACTTAAATATTCTCTTACTTCACTTTCAATTATAAAATGCGAGTAGACTTAATTTGTATGTTAAATTTGATTAAGATGTTGATTTGTAAGTAAATTAGAAAAGTAGTATCATTTCTCTCCCACTAATATTGAGGCATAAGAATAAAGTAAAAATAAAGTAAGAATGAAATAAGAATGATTTAGAACAACACAAATTTTACCGAATTTGATATGAGACAATCTTAGTTGACGAATTGAAAAGAAAACGATAAGACAATCTTAGCGGGATGGAGGGAGCATATTTTAAATACTCCATATTACTTGGGAGTGAGGAAAGAGCGAAAGAACATAGTGATTAATTTTGTCAACATTTCATGATTAACATCCATGCCAAGATATAAGCTCTACACTTGAGGAATTCATCATTTTTGTATATTTTTAAATGACCTCTTTTTTGTTGTAAATCCTAATTTAAAATCAGTCATATTTTGTCTTTCAAAAGAGTACATGTAATATTTATGATATTCTTTCTTTATACTACCGGACATTAACAATGAATGGTGGAAATTACTTGTATCATACTATCATAGGGTGGAGATTAATTATCTAGAATGCTCCACAAAAGTCTCTACACTCTTCTACTTCCTTCCATATTCTTCCAAAAGATTCGAGAATGTTTCACACATGTCCAGAATTCTTCAAAAGGTCACACATTCTTTCACAAGCATCTAAAGAGTTCTTCACTTTTCTAGACTTTTCTGGAACGTTCTTGAAAAGTCTAGAGAAATGTAGAATTAAATACTACATTTCCAATTATGTTCTCTACAAAGTTTTAAATTTTTTTACAATCTCTCCAATTATGGAGGGATCGAAACAAATTTATCAGACTTTATTTTTTAGTTAAATCTCATGTTGTGGCTTTCTTTAACAAGTAAAAATACTAATGATGTGCTGTGTTTTAATACTTTGGAAGACGTATATGAAATTCATCTTAGATCCTCCCTATCCATCATCCTACCAAGTCAATCATATACTTCCTCCGGTTCCAAAAGATCTTGACATTTTGACTTCACAGATTTTAAGAAAATAAACATTGTTTGACACTATTTGGCACTGTTTGGCACTATTTTGTGTAGATTTATTTGCCAAATAAGGCAAATAAGGAAGTGTAAAGATCTTTCTGGTACTGCTAAAAATGAAAAATGTAAAGATCTTTGAGAATCGGAGGGAGTATGTTGTTATCGACAATTTGCAGAGTACTAAATCTCAAGTCTCTTGCACAAGTTGCTTATTATCTATAAGAAAGTGTTATATTGCATCATTTCACTCAAACTATGGAAAAAGCTACTCCGATCTTAGTAATGAGATTACTAAACAATTTCTATAAGGTTAACAATTTTTGTTCTTCATCCATTCTGCTGAAGTGTAGCCTTTGTGTTCATTAATTCCTTGTACCTAATGATTAAGCTATAGGTCTGTGTTGATTTCCTTGTCTAGCTTTGCTTGCTTTAGATAATATTGGAATTTGGAAGTCACTGGTTGATATTGTATAGCTCCTTATTGGCCTGGGAATCAAGCCATAAAGATGTGAAGGACAATAATAGTTGCCTATTCCGTACATACTATGAGAATATAAAATTTATTATAACTTAGCTTATTGTTGTATATCATGTGAGGTTCTTTACATCGTCTTATTTCTTTTAGCAGAGAACCAAACTGAAAGTTTGAATAACGTTCTTATCAATTATGCAATGAAAAGTTGGCTCTACTTTTCAGTGCTTTCATTGCTTCTCTTTTCTTTTATTTTATTCATGCTATTTGTGTGTATTTATTCTAATGCTTTTATACTTGGACACCATCGGTGCAGGGATCAAATATCTTCCACGAAGACGAGAATGGCATCTGGTTGGGGAATCCTGGGAAACAAAGGCCAGTGCTATGATTTCTAGATGAATTTCAGTGAATGTATGTCCACTTACCCGAACCTAAGGACTGCACTCTTCTTAGAGAAGGTGAAAGGGATGGTGCAACTCCCCATTGATTGTAAAACTATTCCTATATGGATATCTAACTTTTGCCCATTTGAAAGCAAGTTGAAGTGGATGCTTTCAGAATAAAAAGGTCACTCTGTAATTCAATTGCTTTACTATATTTCACGGAATGGTAAAAGCCTTGCAAGATTGTATGTGCCACTTGCTATGTGGGCATTTGTCTAAAAAAATGTAATGCTTTTATGCGTTGTTTTTTGTTTCATTTTGTTGCATCGTATATGTTATTTTTGTTGCATCATGTTGATTATTGTTGCATGGTATTATTTATTCTAACTAATGCAACATGGTGTATTTTGTTTATGCTATTATGTGTTTTCACTGCTTTCCTTGCTTCTCTTTGCTTCTATTTCATTATTGTTATTTGTGTGTCTTTTTCTAATACTTTTATATGTTGTTTTTTGTTTCTTTTTGTTGCAACACAAGTGTTATTTTTTTTATGGATCATGTTGTTAATTGTTGTATCGTGTTGTTTATGATTGTTTATAGTTGATTTGGATTTCTGATTTGTATTTAGTTTTGTAATTATCTTTGCTAATTCCTCGAAATAAAAAAATCCATTGACTTATATAGTTATATACGAACACCTGAAATGATAAATTCAAATTTATGACTAAAAAGTTACTACAAATGTAAAGAAACAATGAAAAACAAAAATTTCACAGTTATAAACCAAAAGAAGCACAAACAAACAACATGCATAAAAAATAACCATGTTCATTATTTTAATTTTTCTAGTTTTAATATCACACCCTTTAGTTTTCATAAATTTTCTGATTTGTTATGTATTTATGAATTATATTTTTCGAATATTTTACAAAATTTGATTTCAATTTTTTGAAAGTTTTCACGTTTTATTTATTATTTTGATTTTTCTAATTTTTTTACTTTGTATATATTCTGATTTTAAAAATATAATTACTCTTTCATAAAATTTCTATGTATTTTTATTGTTGCATCGTGTTGTTTATGCTTGTTTATAGTTGATTTGAATTTCCGATTTGTATTTAGTTTTGTAATTATCTTTGCTCATTCCTCGAAAAAAAAACAGTTTTATCATGTTTTACATTTTTATTTATAATTTTCAAGTTTTTAGATTCTTCTACATATTTTTCTAATTTTTAAGTAATTTTTATCGAATTTTATATTTTTGCATTTTACATTTTTATATAAATTATATTATCTATTAAAAAATTTGTCACTACAAAAATCATTTTTGTTCTTTTTTACTGTCTCCAATTTTTTTTAACTTTTTCGAAATTTTAAATTTTATATGCTTCAGATTTAAAATTTTCTGATTTGTGTTTTTAAACTTTAAATTCGTTTTATTTAAATTTTAAGATTTTACATACAAGTTTTCTGCTTGGAATTATTATTATTGTTGTTACTATGGACTTTTATACTTATTTATTTTTATGTTTTATATTATGATCACAGTTTTATTATTTTCTAAGCATTAATATCTTTTTGATGTTTTAATGTACTTTTTCTAATAGTTAACTCTAACTAATTGTATGCCACATTCAATTGTCAAAATAGGTATAGTCACGTATAATCCAATTCTTTCTAGTCATTGGCGGAATTGTTAAATATAATACCATTAGAGAAAATTATAGAAAATTATCTTCAAATAAATTTAAAAGGCCACAAAGATTGAGGAAGGGACGTAATATAAACATGTGAGGTATGTAAACTCATCAATATTCTTGCTTTCAGACATGATTGTGACTCCAATGACATGATTTCTAAGTTTTGTGACAATCAATTTGACTGCTCTGTATTTTTTACAACTTTTTTCGAGTCTCAAATTTAAACCTTATCTTGTAATTCGATAGCCCTGATGTTTGCAAAGAACTTAGAAACTCCAGTGTCAATGCTTCAAATGCTTCAGCTTTAACTACATATCACTCAACAAAATCCCAACTTAAATATTCTCTTACTTCACTTTCAATTATAAAATGTATCCCACTTTTCAACAGAATCCCAATTTTGCACTAATTTCATTCAATTAAAATTACTGCATACCATTACTGCACGACATTACTGCACATCCGGTAATAATCACTGCACTTGCGCCAAAATTAATTCTCTTCTTATTCACTTTAAGAATTTATTTATAGTTTTTATTTTTTATTTTTAAGATTCAATAATTTTATTTCATTTTACGTCAAAGTAAGTATATTGTATTTTGTGGTGACATTACTGCTCTGCGTTACTGCACTATTGTTCATAATA